ACATGTTTATCACCACAAAGATTACACCGAATGCCACCCAAAGTAGGACTGAAGCGTTGAATGGCGTCCACTTGGCTCTGAAGAAGTTGAACACAACATACGTGGACCTAATGCTTATCCATAGGGCGGCTATCGATCCCAATGTTAACGACGAGGTCTGGAAGGGTTTGGAGGACGCGTTGGCCCAGAAATTGGTCAAATCTATTGGTATTTCTAACTTCGATGTCCAGCAAATTGATAGTCTCCTGAAGAATGCGAAAATAATTCCAGCTATGCTTCAGATGGAGAGTCATCCGCAGCAAAATCAAAGACAACTCATTGATTATTGTCGTAAATATGACATACATTTGACCGCATACTCGCCATTAGGCGCCGGAACTCTCTTAAAGAATCCAACGATTGTCTCAATTGGCAAAAGTCATAACAAGTCTGCGGCGACAGTAATGATCAGATGGCAGGTCCAGAGGGGTGTCGTCGCTATTCCTAAAAGTACTAAAAATGCTTATATCATAGAAAATATCGATGTTTTTGACTGGACTTTAACTGACAATGAGATGAAAGTATTAGAAGATATGAAATAATGTAATTCTTTTTAATTAAATTAAAATTCAATTATTAATTGTGATTATTATTAATATCTTTAAACCCCAATATAAGTTAATTTTTGAAATTAAATTAATTTAAATATAAATAGTTCATAGTATAAACTTTATACCATAAGATCGCATCTTTCATTAAATTAAGTTAAGTTTTTATTTAGACATTTAGATAACTATTCAAACAAAAATTACAAATGTCATTACATATATTTATTAAATATTGTAACCAGTTATTAAGAATATAAAAACTAATTTTACACACATTTTTAATTTAAACAACTAAATTTACTAAATTAAAACAATCTATTTCTCTAATTATTTGGCTACAACACATTTAAATGCATACTGGTAATAATAAATGGAATATAAAGTATGGTTACCTAAAATACCAGCTCATACCCTCGCTGAGCAGCTCTGGTTAATACTATTTTATGAGAATATCCAGAATTTTAAATTACAGAGTTTTATATCATTGTATTAGTAAAACAATTTACATAACTATCAATTAATTGTATAGTTTCCGTATACATTATACTGTATAATTTATACAGTATTTTGCCCCGGGATGTAAAACGTATTTAACACTACAATAATGTTTTTTTTTTAAATATTTGTCGCATTGATATGTCATTGAAAAAGCTATAAAAATGTTTTAAACTTTATTGCTTTTAACAAAATTAACCATAACATTATCAATTTGGCAAGTAATCAATATAAAATAATTTTTATATGGTCATTGCAACTCTATTTGTAATTTCAAATGAATTGTTGTACATTTTGGATTCATAAAATGTGATCATGGTGGTTATCTACGTTCACTTGAACTATCATTGAAAGCATAAATTCAATTTTATAACAAACATTTGTTTTAAATTACATCAATAGTTATGCATATAAAAGATTAAAAGTCCTAAACTATTGCTCTAACAGTGCTTTTCATACGTTTATCTATTGAATCGGTTTATAAGATCATTGTATGTGAATATTTCAAGTGTTTATTTGATTAGTTGATCACATTTTGGTATATATTAATCACAAATTATTATTAAATAGTTATTTCAAATTTCAACTCAAGCAATGAAATTAATAATTAGTGGCCTATTGTTTGCTTTATTGAGCATTAGTTGGGCTGAAAATGGTATATAAATCAAAATTTACATAAATCTTTAATCCAATCAAATAATTATAACTAAAATAATAATACAATTGACAGAATCGAGAACTCTTCGGCTAAATAGCGGATACGACTGCCCTCTGGTAGGCATCGGAACGGGTGGCTTCAGAACGGGAGGTCCGCCGCAGGGAAAAGTGGCCATTCAGTTGATTCACGACGCTATCGATTCCGGGTATAGACATATCGACACCGCATCCGCCTATGGGAACGAGAAGGCCATCGGACAGGCGGTCACTGAAGTGTTGGCCAAAGGAGTGCTCAAACGGCAAGAGTTGTTCATTACAACTAAACTGATGCCAAACCCAACCAACACTCGCGATGAAACGCTAAAATCAGTTCAATTGTCGATACAAAACTTGAACACATCATACGTGGACTTAATGCTCATACATATGCCATCCGATGATTTGGCCGTCAATGACAAAGTGTGGTCAGCTCTGGAGGAAGCCGTCGCTCAGAAGCTAATCAGATCTATCGGTGTTTCCAACTTTAATGCTCAACAAATTGATAGTCTGCTAAAGAATGCGAAAGTAGTTCCGGCGATGCTTCAGGTGGAGAGCCATCCGCAGGTCAATCAAAGACAACTTATTAGTTATAGCGATAAACATGGTATACATTTGACCGCATACTCGCCATTAGGCGCCGGAACTCTCATAAAGAATCCAACGATTGTCTCAATCGGCAAAAGTCATAACAAGTCTGCGGCGACAGTAATGATCAGATGGCAGGTCCAGAGGGGTGTCGCCGCCATTCCTAAGAGCCTTAAGTTGAATTATATCAAAGAAAACATCGATGTCTTTGACTGGACTTTAACTGACAACGAGATGAAAGTATTGGAAGATATGAAATGAATTAACTTTATTGCGATACCTCTTTATAACTCTATAAAATTATGATTGTTTGGCAAATAAACAAAAATATGATTGATATTTACCAGCAATTCAAATAAATCTTATTTTTTAGGTTTTAATGATTTATTAAAATAAAATCTCTGTTTTTAGTTAAATGTGTTAAAATTAATTATTGCAGACAAATAAAGGTTAATAAAACTATTAATGAATGTGGTTTGTAATTATATCCTTATGGTAAAAATAAAATTCAATTCAAAAGTATTTATATTTTCCAAAACTCAGACATCTCTTCCACATCAACACCAAATAGATCTCAATTTCATATAAGAAATGCAATTATTTATTGTATTATCAGTGATACTATCCATTGCTTTGGCTGATGATAATGGTATGCAATGACCAAACATTAACCTAACAATAATAAACTAATGAAAATGCTTTCGCGACCATAGCCTCGAAGACATTTCGGCTAAACAATGGAGTGGACTGTCCGGTCATAGGTCTGGGGACGGGTGGCTTCGATGGCGCGCCTCAGGGAGAGCTCGTCAAACAGATGGTAAGGGATGCGATTGATGTGGGCTATCGTCTCATTGACACCGCAGCCTATTATGGCAACGAAGAGGCCATCGGCGACGCCGTCAACGAAGTGATCACGAATGGCAAAGTCCGTAGAGAGGAGCTGTTCATATCGACCAAGGTGTTTTTGCTCATCGGTCAAAGTATACCCATATCTCGGGCCGAAACCGTAGAGAACGTGCGAATAGGGATACAGAAACTGAACCAAACGTATGTCGATATGATTTTGTTTCACTTTCCCTCTGAATCCGATGAAATCAATCGCGAGGTCTGGAGTGGACTCGAAGACGCCCTAAACCAGGGTCTGGTTCGAGCGATTGGTGTTTCCAACTTTAATGTCCAGCAATTGGAAAGTCTGATCCAAACGGCAAATGTATTGCCAGCGATGAACCAAATTGAAAGTCACCCCCAATTGAGTCAAAGACAACTTCTAGACTATTGTTCCCGATATAAGATACGAGTGACCGCTTACTCGCCATTAGGCGCCGGAACTCTTATCTCAAATTCCAAACTTATTTCGATCGGAAATAAATACAACAAAACGTCGGCACAAGTGATGATCAGATGGCAAATACAGAGAGGAGTTGTGGCCATTCCTAAGAGCACTAAAGCTGATAGACTTCGCGACAATTTCAATGTCTTTGACTTTAGTCTTACCGATGAAGAGATGAATATTATTGAAAACATGTAATTTCTTGTTTATAACAAAACGCTGTATTTTAACATTAAATTAAAACTATTTTAACAATTAATAACAATTTTATTACAAACTGTGATATGAAGACAAAATTATGCGACAATTAGGACAGAAGTGTTCAATATTTTGCATTCTCTTCGCATAACATGGTATTAGACAACAGCCACAGCAACAGCTCATCAGTATATATGGCACTGATGTAAGCCATGTGAAGAGACAAGACATGGGACGTGTTTCGGTGATAATTTGTGAATCACAGTAAGAGCATCGGGTTTGCATTGATTTCGAACATGGCCATTTCAAATGTCCCACATATTCATCAATTATCTCTTGTCGTGAATCGTATATTGAGTGGTAATTGTTGTGTCGGGACAGACCGCCCGCACCCAATGCCGAGTCCGCAAATCTTGTATACATTTTAACAATTTATTTCAATCATAATTTATTAAATTGTGATTTGTGTTCATTTTAATCATTGATAATTAATAATACAATTTAATGAAAACAATGCAATTATTATAAAACAACTGTCAATACCAGGTGTTGTTCTTCGGAGAACAGCTATGAATCCATCATTTCATATAAACTATAACAATATATGGTGTTATATATTATCGTAATTAACATAACAGTATATTTTGTAAATCTAATTAACACATAAATTATAATCATTTTAATTTACATTTTAATAGTAATCTATAATGATAGGTTAATTATTGCAATTGATATTAGATGTAACTTGGTGATTGGTACTCCTTTTTTGTAGTAGTAAATTATTTATTGTTTTATAATCATATTTACAATTTGTACATTTATAGTAATTCATATCAAAATAAATTATTGCAATTAATATTTACATATTTAAATTAATATTTATGCAAAATATGTACAATTAATACTAATATTAATATCTAGTCATCTAATATCATACCAAAGCCATCGATAACTGAGGGAGCCTTTGAATATTTGGTGCCTTTTGGCAAATGTGGTAAATGTTGACACTTATCGGAGTCTTCCTCGTAGTCGGTGCACATCAGGTTCAGTGTATTGCCAGCCATTGAAGTGATGTACTTCTCGTAGTTATCCATTGACTTCTCACTACACATACGATTACTGGCCATTCGGGCGCAACTCATAACACATGCCTTTAGTTCGTGAAATGCACTGTAAAGACAATCACACAATAAATACAAAAATAAAATTAAATGATCAAATTATTGTAACATACCAACAGGCGTGCGGAACTTTCATCTTAGTCTCAAAGGCGTTTGATTTGCCCAACTCTACCATAAACTCATCCATGCATTTGTTTGACTGGTCTCTGATTTTATTGCCGCAAACCGAGAATGACATCAACTCTTGTTTTTTGGCCGATTTTGTGCAGTAATTCTTGTCAATAGTCTTGACGGTGAAGAGCATCACATTTGCCAACTGTTTGTGCACTTCGTTACCGCAGACATCGGTGTAATCCTTCACACATTTGATTAGATTTGTGGTTTGTTTGCAGTGTTTCTCCAATTCGGGCTCATTTTCCGGGTATTTTCTGGATCTGCGGCCAACAAACCACAGCTTATCGGCGCATACATTGGCTTTTATCCGGTGCTCGTCGTCGCACAACACATCCACTTTCCTCTCTTTGCGCTCCACTGGAGAGCAATTGACTACAACTTTAACATAAACAAGTTTTATAAACGATAAAGATAATTTTACTTTTAAAATACATACCAATGAACAAAATAGCAAACATTGCAGCGTTTAATGTATTCATTTTTTACAGATATATTTAATCAAAAAAGTTTTAACAAACTTTTAAACAATTGTTAATTAATAATGTCTATAATAAAGAATTGAAAACAATATTTATTTGTGAAATGTGTTGAAAATGCCTGTAATTTATATACATATTTGTCACGTAACCAAACAAAAGCCTATTCTCTATGGGACACGTAGACCATTGATTGACAATTGAATTCT